ATTAATAGTTCAAGGTACTAATAGAAATAGTTCAAGGTGGCAAACATATCCAATACAATCTCCTCCTCCTAATTTTCCCACAACAATCCTCTGAGGTTGATCGGGCTTAGAGAAATACTGACTGGCCTAAAGTCACCCAAGGCAGGACTTGAACTCACGGTCTCTTGCTTTCTAGCCTGGTGCCAATAAAAACAGATACTGAGGCCACACAAAAACTAATTACCAAAGTTTTCTGATGACTGCCCAAGAATTAAATAAACATACATATACTTTTAGAGGTTACCCAAATGATATTTGGAGTTTATTTATTTACAGGTGAATGTTTAACCTTCAACAGATTTAGGATCGCATTCTATCGATTACCCTTATTAATAACATTTTCATTAAAAGGCGTGTGGCACATTCCTTTACATGCAACAAGTTTAATTCCAAAGCCAAATTATTCACATGGGATGGGCAAAACAGACAGGCATCCTTAAAATGTAGCAATCCAAAAATTCCATTCAGAAAATTCACCCGACAAATAAGGTGAGTTTTTAGCCTCGGGGTAGAAAAATAAAGCATCTCAGCAAATGTATGTCTGGGCGACTGTCCTTTCTGTTTAATTCTCTTTCCCTAATCGGTACATTTTCATTTGCAACTATCCATCACTTTTCTGCAGCGGAATGTTCTTTTGTTTCTGTAGCCCTGATGAAGGCTGAGGAAAATAGATCAGAGAGAATGAGCAGAAGTAATTACGATTTATCTCACACTCTTTCTTCAAAAATAGCTCTTTCATAGTCTCCTTATTTGGTTGAACTACCCCGTATTTTTTAAAAATTATTATTACTTTTTGACTAGGCTAATTAACAAGTCAAATGAGAGGTCCTTGGTGCTCTCTGAGCTTGGTTGTTTTCTGGTAGACTTTTTTTTTTATCCAAACTAGATAACATCATCAGGACTAGCAATGTTACCTCAGAGAGCACCAAGGACCCCTCATTTCAAACCTGAGCTATAAATATTCTCCTTTATTGGTGACAAGTCAGTTAGAATCTTTGCTCCAGCTTATGAAAATACTACACTCATAACACAGCAGATTTATGCTACAAATCTACCTGTATTTATTGTAAATGCATCCCCATTTAAGACATGCTGCCAAGCAAACCTTCACTGGATGCCACCGTTTGACCCATAAATGAATGAATTTAGCTCAGAATCAAGGTTGCATTTAGCCCACCTGAAAATCTTACCTGTTCAGTTAAATTTAATCAACATTTCTAAATTCAACAAGTAACTCCTTCACTTTACCTCATTGTAGGCAGGGAGTCTGATTTCCTTTAATACTACAGGAGATTTTTTTTTCATAAAATGGCAATTGTAGAACAATGCAGTCCTTCTGATCTAAGGAGAGAGCAGTTATAAATTCAACAGTTATTAGTAGAAGTCTGCAGTTAAAATAAATAAATGCTTGTTTCTCTAAAGAAGAAATTAACTCAGCAGCTTTTTCACTAGTGGGTGGCTGAATAGTTAAAAAGATTCCACTTTGAAATAATTGTGGCTAAATTCTAAGACTTTGAGGCGCAGAAAAAGAAGTTTATTATAATCTCATGATTGATTTCTAAATGAAGCCATTGTTCAAATATACTCTAAATGTTTTGCCTGCACCATATCAATCTGCATATTGAAAAACATTATTGTTAGCTTTTTCATTATTGTTAGGTTCCTTTTTAATACAAACAGGTGTTTAATTTGTTTCAGTGCAATTTTTGGAGTGAGGAAAGACCTGTCTGTATAAAACAAATCTTTAAACAAACACCTGTCTGTATAAAATGAAATTTTAAATGTAATGTAGCTTTAAAAAAAATGAAATTAAGAGATTGGAATGAAAATGAGAAGCGCCTAATTTGATGTCTTTTTCTTGATGAAAGTTATATTTCTGTTTGCAAACATACAAGGGGAAAAAAAGGAAGGACGCAAATTAAAATAAAACATTAAAGACAAGCAGGTTTGAATCCTTCTCACATTAGTCTTAATGCCGAGGACAGTTCTGCAAATCAGTTTAATAACCTTAAACAGTTACACTCCCTCTCATCTGTAAAATAAATAGCTTGGACAGAACAAGCCTGGAGGCATTCACTGGACTAATTTGCGTTTTACTCTAACAATGAATGGCAAGCTTCTATTTTAATACAAGTCTATCTTGATTATCTCTTCATTACAGACACCAGCACCCCCCCCACACACACCACGTTCAACTGCTACCTGAAGAACCAACAAGCCGTACATTCATTTGACAAAAACTTACCGAAAGGAAATATACTGGAATCTAATCAGAATAACTAAAAAGAGGTGTTTTTCTTTTCAAAGTTAAACTTTCTAGGCATGATCTATTGCACCAATCCGTTCAACTAGATCCTGGTTTATTTTGTAGAATTATCAGAATTTCAGGCCTTCCTGTTACACCCAATTTAAAACAATCAATCAATAAGGTGCTCAAGCATCTTTAGGATCAATGACTTCAATCAGAGGGGCACAATTTTCTCCTGGATTTCAGCGTCCAGCTATAGTTTCAAGGGCTGGTCCCATTCGGTGAACAGAATAACAGGTAAGATCTACAATTACTTGATCTACAATTAAAACCCATCAAACTCAACAGGGGCCCAGGCTCTGGGTGATATTTTACTGTATGCAGTTAAGCATCCTAAACAATAAAATCATAAATGTGGAGGCAGCACAAATAACCATACCCCACAGATTCCTAAACAAAAATTAAAAATGCGGGTTCACACGTAGAAATTTGTTCGCAATACTTTAACGTGCAGATCTGAGTTGAAAAAGCTTTAATCTTGTGCCAGATTTCCGGACTATCTTCTGCAATCATAGAATGTCTGATAACCTGTACTTTTTGCAGTTTAAAATTCAAGTTTCCAGGTGAATTCTGACTTTCAAGGAAAGAGCTGAACCTGATCAACCGAGTTAGAAAAAGAGAAAAACATCCCCACACTTCTCTTCTTTTACATTATGAATTTTTTTTTGAAAATACGAGGAAAATAGGAGAAAGTGGGAAAATAGGAAGAGGAAGGTATGTTGGATATTTCTGCCACTTTGAATTATTTGTAAAAAGAATAAAGGTGAGATATAAATAGAAGATAAAGAGATAGATACTGTAGATAGATGATAAATGATACAGATAGATAGATAGATAGATAGATAGATAGATAGATAGATAGATAGATAGATAGATAGATAGATAGATAGATAGGTAGGTAGGTAGGTAGGTAGGTAGGTAGGTAGATAGATAGATAGATAGATAGATAGATAGATAGATAGATAGATAGATAGAT